AGGTAGAGTATAATGCTAAGCAAAATAAGTCAGAGAAAGACAAATACCATATGATCTCACATGTATGTGGAATTTAAGAAACAAATGAGCAAAGGAAAAAAAAAATGAGACAAACCAAGAAACAGACTCTTAACTAAAGGTTGCCAGAGGGGAGATGCGTAGAGGGATGGGTGATATAGATGATTAAGGAGTATAATTACCATGATGGGAAAAAAAGATTAAAAAAAATCTCAGAACTGAATCTGATACTCTTACATAGCAACTATCTTAACTCATACATATTGGTATGTATTCTTTTAGCTAACATTATTTACTATCACTTGCCACCCAGATAAGTGTCTTAAATATATTCCCTCATTTAATCTTCAAAATTTCTAATTTTATAGATGAAGAAATTGAAAGGTTATATGACTTGTCTGATGCTACCAAACCAGTAAGAAACAGAGACCTATTCAAACTCTAATCCAAGTCTCAAATGTAAGCTCATCTCCTCGCTTTTAATCTCCTTCATAACCTTGTTTTTCCCTTTGTATTTTTTCTTAAGTAATCTCTATGCCCAACGTGGGGCTCAAACTCATGACCTCAGGATCAAGCGTCTCATGCTCTACCAACTGAGCCAGCCAGGTGCCCCGTCTGTACTTTAATTTTTCCCTTGTATAAGCCATCTCATCTTTATTGGAAAAATGTGAAGAATGAAAAATGAAAGAATAACATATGTAAATGAATTAGTGTTTTATTATCTTACCTGCTGCCCTAGGATACTGATTGTCCTAGTTGACTGCCATATCTTCCTGAAGGAAGGAGACTGGATCGGTTGATACAAAGATCATTTACAGTTCTGAAGTTTGATGGTCCATGTTGCTTAGAAGTTATTTTACTTTTCTTTAAATGTGACACTCTGTGCTCCTGAGTCCACTATTCTATAGATATGGTAACTCCTAGGATGAGGTTCACTAAGGGAAAAGGCTGCACTATAAATCCTGAAGAGAAGCTCAGAAGCCCAATGAAATTCCATTAAGACCTCAGAAACAATGTCTATATATACATTTACTAAAAGATAAGAAGTCAGAGTTTCCAGCTAGGGTGAGAAGTTTCTTATACAACTATAAAAACAATGCGTAGCTGGAAGGCATACATAAACTTACTAACAGTCCTAACTCAAGTAAATATTAACTATCTTACATTTACCTATTTACAGAATTGGCAAACTCCTAACCCTTGAGTAGAATCTTACCTGTAGACATTTTCTTTGAACCTGACATTTGAATTCATTGCCAACATTTATGATTCAGATTTCACTTTCTAAAAAATATCTAGATTTGGGGGTATTTGGGAATTCTAGACCCACATTTCCATCCAACAACAGGACTGAGCTAGATAGTAGCTGCCCTCTTTATCCTGGGCATATTTGTTTATAACTATAGAGTACCTACTACATTTCTGGCACAGGGTATAGAACATTATACAAAATTTAAAACAATTCATTGCCCTCGTAGAGCTTACTTTCTTGTATGCTCATCACTTTACCACATCCAGCCTTTTCCCTGTCTACACTCTATAGATCTTTGCATTTTCTGCCAATATCTTACCTTTCTCTGAAAATGCCATAGTCTCCAATAGGAACCTCATGAGAACAAGTCCAAAAATGGGTTATTTCCAGAGATATTTTTAAAAGGACTGGATATAATGCAGTGACCTAACAGCTTTATCTTTCTTCTTGCTATTCCCCAAGAAATAAAATCATTGCTGCTTTGTAAAACATTTTTAGTAACATATGTAGTAATAGGTTTAAGATAATGCTGTATTTGTACTAGTCTAAGAAAAGTTTATGATTTACTACTTACAGTAAATAAAGCTGTTTAAAAACAAAATACTTACAAAAAGGCATACTGTCATCTATTGAGCAAGTTTGCAATTGACTGCTCCGATATGTAAGAAACCTTAGGATCTTCTAATCCAGCTTTTACAAATAAAAAGACCAAAAGTAGTAGCTGCCGTCTGGAAAGAAATAAATTTGAGCCCCTACCTGAGTCCTTGACCAAAATAAATTCCAGAAGGATCAAAGATTTAATTAAATATTTTTTAAAAGAAAGCAGATAATTTTTATAATCTTTTGAGTGGGAAAGGCCCCCCAAAACCACTAAAGATTTAATAAAATTGCCTACATAAATCTTTGCATAAAGAAAACATCATAAACTCAAAAGGAAATTGACAAGGAAAAAAATATTTACAATGCAAGTCACAAAGGGTCACTTTCCTTAATCTCCACAATTACTAATACAGAGACCCAGGAGACAGAAGACCACAGAAAACAAATGGCTCTTAAACATAAAAATATGCTCAACTTTTAAAAGCAGGAACCATTTTTTTATAAATCAAAATAGCAAAGATTAAGAAGTTTGATAACTATTATGTTGCTGAGATGAGGAAATAAGACACTATAACATTCATTGCTGTGCGGTATGTATTAGTACAACTTCTATTGACAGCAATTTTGGCAGGGTTTAATAAGTTAACAAAACATAAGAGGTTTCCAGCATATACCAAGTACAGTTGACCCTTGAACAAAGGTTTGAACTGTGCACTGTCCACTTACACGTGGATTTTTTACAGTACTGTAAATGTATTTTCTCTTGGGATTTTCTTACTAACATATTTTCTCTAGCTTACTTTAAAAATACAATATAAAATATATATAACATGCAAAGTATGTGTTGATTGACCATATTAATACCAGTTTAGATTCTCATCAACAGGCTATTAGTAAAGTTTTTGGGAGGTCGTAAGTTATATGCAGATTTTCAACAGCGTGAGGGGCAGGGTTTAGCTCCCATAACCCCCATGTTGTTCCAACGGTCAACTGTACAGGTCTTAATGGCTATAATCATCAAATTTTAAAATGCATAAACTTATTAAACTTTTTGTTATGATTTTTTGAAATCACATACAAGGATATTCACGGAAATATTGTCCATAAAAAAATACAACTACTTTTAGGGAATGGATTAAATTATGATCTATCCAATAGGATACTATGCAGCCAGCTATTGAAAGCGTCAGCTCTGTTGTACTGTACTGATAGAACATTCTCTAAAATGATGAGAATAAGGGACAGATCATTACATAAAGCTTCCATTTGTGTATATGATGCTTTGTGCTCAAGTCTCTCTTGAAGAATAAATCATATTATTGTGGTTGTCTCCTGGGAGAACCAGGTAGCTGGGAATCAAAAAGACACAGACTACCCACCACATAGCTCTTTTACATTTTGTATCACTAAGATATGACATAGGTCTTAAAAGAAAAAAAAAAGGGAGTTTTCATAAACAGTTCCATGTACCAGCTGGTCTGGAATGGAACCTAATTCTTACCCTATTTGCTTCCAACAGAACCACTCCTTAAAGTAACCTAGTCTTGAAAATTTACTGATACAATCTTTCAGAGATTTGAAATCTTGATCTACACTTAAAAATATCAAACATGACTCACCCTAAATCCTGAACTTATTCCAGAGCAACTCTTATTAATGAGTCGTTCTCAGCTTAGACACAAAAAGCATTTTATATAAAATAACAGAGTTAAAGCAGTCACAAAAACTCCCAAAAAGATGACAAATCTGATCGGTCTGCCTCATGGGTCTTAAAATTTATCGATTTAGAAATCCTGAAGGAAACAAGACTTTTACCCTATTTCAATTTTAACTATTTAAAATCTCTTTATGCATGTACTGTTTATAGTTTTAACTCTCTCCTTTAACATTAAAACGCTGTGAAGTGGGTAGTGACCCCATATGACAAATGGGGAGATATAATGTCAAAAATAAAGTTCATTAAGCTAGTATTTATAGAGCCGGGGAACTGGGATCCGGACCTAGGTTATGCCTCTAAAATACATTACCCTAATTTCTGGCACTATTAAGCCACTTAACAACGAACCATAAATTATTTTTTAAAATATAAATTTGTTTTCATTTTGAGCATCAAAAGCTCCAAAATGTGCAACTACTGGGATAAGATTAAGAAGGCAGTCAGAAGTCTACAGATTTTTGAGTCTATTTGCTCTGGTAATTACATTAATACGTCACTTCCATTTAACAAAACTTTGGTATTTCCTGTTTAATGATATAATCCTTACCAAAAACTTACTCAAGTATGGCATAAGGCAGATAACCAAAACTCCCATGGTTGGGTAATAAGAATCTATTTTAAAACTCGATAGGTAATCAGGATTGTCAGGTTTAACTATAAAACAATCAACAAATAGGTTTCTTCTGTCACCACTTGGCCAAAAGAGGTTGACCTTCACTAAAAGCCTCTGATAACTGTTCAAAATAATAATCTTAATTCAAATAGAAGGAATTGCTCCTTCAAAGGAGCATTTCTCAAATAATTGCTTTCCCCAATAAATATAAATCCTAGTGAAATTTAGTCATGGCAGATCACAATAACCACTTCAAGTGCTTTCTTAAGGTTACCCAAAATTCTAAAGCTTTAAGCTTTAGAAATAATTTTTAAAGCTATAACCCAAAATTCATTCTGGTATTCTATTTTGAACTAGTTCGTAATCAACAGAAAATTTAACCTGTTACTAAAGATGTTTTTTAAAAATTTATGTTTTTAGGTATATACTCACTGTATTAGCTCCTTTGCCTCATATTAATATTAAAGAGAAAGTTTCCCTAAAGACAGTCAGTTAAAAAAAAAACAAACAAACCCAAGGGACAAGTTAGTAATAAATGAATAGCAATGTCAAGAAAAAAAAACCTCATTTTGTAAAACTGCACCAACTTTAGAAGTTCAATAAATTCCAGATCTACTTCTTAAAGAATACTTTGTAAATTAGAATATGGGCATGTTTTTCTTTTAACCAAACATTTTACTAAATCAACTGTGTCTGAGAACTATTAGGCAGAAATACAAGAAAAATTTGATGTGGTTTCAGACCTTGAGTATTTTTAAAGTGAAAAGTAACCTAGCACATTAAGACAAAGACAATAGAAATAATATACATAATTTTATTACAAAAATTTTTTTAAAAAACAAAATGCAACATTCTAAAAAACCCAAAATTTACTATTGATACTAATTCCTACAAGTTTGCTGTGCTACAATACACAAGTCAAGAAATTAAGAAAACCATTAAATATTTAGAAACATTCAACATCAGAAGCTTTAAAATCTAACTGTATGTAGTAGCCCCTCAAAAAGCTACAACCTGCATTTTTAAAAAAGTATTTTCTCTACAAAGAATCTTATCAGCTATACAAAAATCTGTACAGTTTTTATACTGAAGCTAATATTGAGCTGCACTTGAATTCACATTCTTAGCAAAACAATTGCCTGAGCACACACGCACACTCCACACATATCGTTACAGGATAGCCATTTATTCTTCATCTTCCTCCTCTTCCTCATCATCTTCATCTTCTTCCTCCTCTTCCTCTTCCTCCTCATCCTCTGGTTCATTCTTCTTCTTGGAACCTGTTGGCCTGCCAGGGCCCTTCTTTCCTGCTTCACTTTTGCCCTTGGCGCGATATGCAGCAATATCCTGAAATATTGTCAAAAAATAAAATCAGCATCCGGTGTCATTACTCAACTGTCAAATCCACTAGGTTGTAAACAATCTAAGATTATTGACCAATAACCCCGATGACTGTCCAAAGAGGTATTTCAGAGTCTCGTAAGTCAGCCTTGAGAGCATTTGTTCTCTAGGCTTTAGAAAGCTAATGATATAAAAAATAAAGGTGTTGTAGTAGATGTCAGAATTTTCACTATCAATGTCCATTTACCTCATATTGCCCACCCCATCAAATTTTAGGCACATCTACATAAAGCGAAGTATTTGGCCCTCCATTTCTTAAAATTGAGAGACCCAGAACTACAAATGAGTCTATATGCAGGAATCTACCAAGCTACAAACATTGGTTTCAGTCAAAAGAAAGAAGTTTCAATTAGCTTACATTCTTAAATGTACAATTTTCACTAGACCTTCTCCAAATAGAGCTGACAACCATAAATACAAGAACTAAACTTCCCAACTCTATAGTTCATACCTATTTCTAACATCCTTCCTTAGAAAATATCTTGGCTTTAAAAGAGACAACGTACCTTTTCATACTTCTCCTTTAGCTTAGCTGCTTTCTGTTCATATGGTTGTTTATCTTTGGCTGACTGTTCAGACCACATTTCACCCAATTTTTTTGCAGTATCCCCAATGGATAAACCAGGGTGTTCACTTTTGATCTTTGGGCGATGTTCAGAGCAAAACAGGAAGAAAGCAGACCTGAAAGAAAGCACTGAGTTAATAAACTGGAAAAAAACGGGGCAGTCTGACTGATTTGAAAATGAACTTACGGAGGCCTTTTAGGAGCATTGGGATCTTTTTTCTTTCCTTTCTTGTCACCTTTGGGAGGAACATAATTTTTCATCTCCCTGTCATAGCGAGCTTTGTCACTTTTTGCCATATCTTCAAATTTCGACTTTTCCTTTGCAGACATGGTCTATGGGCATGAAAGGAGGAATGAAAGTACAGCAAAACTACAAACTACATGCATCCAAAAAAGATCAAGATCATCCTTAAGGGCCACATTTTCCTTGGTTAGCAGCATTTTACTTTTAGCAGTCTTGGAAGTAAACGAAAACCCAAGGTTGTCTGCCCCAAACTCAAAACAAAATACCTGGACGAAGTCACCACCGTGGCCAAGTTGAAGGTTACAAGTTACCTACCCCCTTTAAGGTCCTATAGCCTAAAAAAAACACACCTGAAAAACCCTTAGCTCTGTCCGAATTCCGGTCTCACCTTCCATCTCTCCGAACATTTCTTGGAGAATTCGGCGAAATTGACGGAGGAGTCTGGGTGCTTCTTCTTGTGCTCTTCCCGGCAAGTCTGCACGAAGAAGGCGTACGAGGACATCTTGCCCCGCGGCTTGTTGGGGTCTCCTTTACCCATGGTGACAGACGGCGTCTACCTAGTGGGGAGAGGAGCGGTGGGTGGACGCTGGCGGGGCTCAGCTTCCCGCCCAAATACGCGCCCGCCCCCTCTCGCGAGGAAGGCGGCCAGCGCCAGGCTCCCCCGCCAGCCCGCCCCGGGCGGCCGCCTCCGCGCACACACCCTCCTCCCGGCACCCACCGCAACAGCCGCGGCCGATCTCCTCACGCGCGATCACCGCGTCGCTCCCGAAGGCCCGAAACGCCACCACCCGCCGCCCGCTCTCCGCCCAGGCCCGAGCTGAGGAAGGGAACGCCAGGGGCGCCGTCGAAACCCTTTTCCTGACAGAAATGTTTCCCCGGCTTCCACGTCGCCGGCCCCAAAGAGTTGTCGCCTCGCGACCGACATTCAAAAAATGACTGAAACCGGGCCCGGACGAGCTTCCCGCCCTCCCGCGGGCCCCGACCGCCAGCCCTCCACAGTCCCTGGCCCTCGCCGGCCCCGCACCCCAGATTCCGCTCGCCGGGTCGAACCCCGAGAGCCACCGTGCCCAGCCCGGCCAGAAGGCTATGAGGAAAGGGGGAACGGCAGGCCCACGAACACGAAGGGGCTGAAGGGGATTCTTGCCTGGTGGTAGCTTTTTCTCAGAGTCCCGCGGAGAGGCCGGATCCACCAGAGGCGCTTCCTTCCCAGGGCTCCGGCGTGAACTGGTTTATCGCTAACGCAATCCTCAGCCTCTTGTTTTGCAGAGTTCTCCGCGCCACGGCAACTTGACGAGCCGGGCCGCAGGCCACACCCCCGCCTCTCTGATTGGTTCTGGTGATTATTCAAACTCCCGTAGGCACCGCCCTATCGCCACGGAGGCCTCCGATTGGTCGGTGTCTCGCCAGGCCCGTCCCTCCAGCTCCAGCCTAGCAGGTTCGGTGGGTCGCCCAGGTCGTTAACTCCCAGACCCGTTAGAACCGGTCAGGAGAGGAATGTACTGCTCGATCCTGATTGGCGGCGGGAAAAGGGTTTGAAAAATGGCGGGCCTGACGCTGACTGGCTGGAGCGGTAAACGGGGGGAGTGGTTGGCCTGAAAGGGAAAGCCCCGCCAGATTTAAAAATACCAAGTCGGGAAACAGGGTTGTTAAGGGGTCGGAGTCGGCCGGGTTTCCAGATGCTGAGGTAACAAGCAGACCGCCCTACCCCTTCTCTGACCACTGTCCAGGTCGTGTTTCTCTTCCGCCCCAACTCGGCCCTAGAGCGTTGTCTCTTCCTGGGAGCTGTAGTCGCTCTGCCCTGTAACCCTACAGTGTCTCCTCTGTCACGTCCAAAGAATAACAAATGGAGAGAGGCTGAGGAGCTTGCCCTGCGGGCCGATTGCCCAGCTCCGCCCGTTGCCGCTGAGGCTACGATAGAACCCCAGGAAGCCCGGAGGTGGCGGGGAACCTGGGAAGGGGCGCGGGGGGGCGCGGGAGGGCAGCTGTTCCCGCCTCTCGTGTGGTGTTACCAAACGATCTTTCAGTAAGGCGTTTCCCGCCGGTGGAGTTTCCCTCAGAAGGCCCCTCCCTCCCTTCCCCGTTTGTCTCGGGTGTCCAATGCCCGGAGGTAAACAAGGGCGCCCTGGGGTCCCGAAGGGGCAGGGGCGGGTGTTGTTTCCCCTGGCTCCGCCCCCTCCCTCCGCTTCGGGATTCCCCGACCGCCTGGCTGGGCCCTGGCTCACCCTCGCACCAGCGCTGAGCTGAGAAATCGATTCCCGGCCACTGCCCACCTTTGGCTATCTTATTTGTCACCTAGATATTCACTGTCTCGTCCCTCTTATATGATAATGTAAAAACTTCTTTAAATCAAAGATCCTTTTGAGATCCCCATAAAAGCAATGAATGCTCCCCACCCCCCAACTGCTTATATACGCCAAGTGCCTATTGCAGCATTTTACACACTCCTCCAGGCCCAGATTAAGAACCTTCATTTTAGTGTCTAGAAAGAGCGCACCAAAGCTACCCTTAACTGCTTACTAGCATCACAAGCTGCTTTTCCCAAAGCAGCAGGACTTTCACTGACACCTTAGTATGCTATTTCTGTGTTGTATTTAGTTTTGAGGTCTATTTTTTCCCCATGTGTTGCACTGACAGTTTCAACAGATTTTAATATGCTGTTTTATTTTCTCAGTAAATTCACTGGCATTTGTTAGACTGTGTGTGCCTGTTTGGTTTGTATTCAGTAACTCTGGTCAATAACTCAAAAACCAGCAGCTCTTTACCTAGATTTACTGATGAAAACAAGGTTTTTAAAAATGATTTTTTCCTTGGAAATGGATACTGGGTGCCCAACGTTGTGCATGTGCTAATGCCACTGAATTTAAAAACAAATGTATAATGTATAATGTTTATTGCTATTAAATAATATAGTATGATTTGTCAAATTTGGATTTGTATGTGCTTTTTAAGCACAGTTGTAACTGTGATCTTATTTGAAAATAGGGTCACTGCAGATGTAATCAGTTAGGAGGAAGTCATATGGAGTTGGGTAGGCCCATAATCCAATGATTGGTGTCCTTACAAAATTTATAGGAGAATTTGGACACAGAGAAAGGCACAGAGGTTAGATAATGTGAAAAGACACAGGAAGAAGTTGGCCATCTACAAGGTAAGGAGAGAGGCCTGGAATCTTCTGTCACAGTCCTCAGAAGGAAACAACCCTTCCCACACCAATTTCCATTCTTTACTCCATCACAGTGGAGAAAAGCAAAACATTTCTGTATTTAACCTGCTTTTACGTTGGATGCTAAGACTTCACTCTTAGGCTGTACTTCCTGGCCTCGAAGTAACATCAAAAAGCACAGTGAAGTGATAAAGTTTAAGTGAGATCTAGACAACCGTTGGTTATAGAAAAACCCTTTTTTCTTTTTGGAATAAAAACTATATGCAGAATCTGGTAGCACATACAAAAAATCTAGTACCAAATTTGGTTCTGTAAAGATGGGTTAAATACATAAGAGGTTTGGTTCACTATTATGAATTACCTGGCATACTGTTATAACTTTATCAGAAAACTAAAATGTCCTATAAAGACATAATACTAAAGGTCTTTCTCTTTTTTTAAAAAAAAGATTCATTTATTTGAGAGAGAGAGAGAGAGCCAGGGGAGGGGCAGAGGGAAAGGAAGAGAGGAATACTCAAGCAGATTCCCTGCTAAGCGCGGTACCAACCTAGAAACCGATCCCAAGGACCCTGAGATCAAGACTTGAGCTGAAATCAAGAGTCAGAGGCTCAAGAGTGGGATGCTCAACTGACTGAGCCACCCAGGCGCCCCTAAAGGTCTTTCTCTTGTGTCTACTACTGTTACGGTTCTAAATGGGAAAATAAGATTGTTTTCTAAAATTCAACCTTCTTGGGGCACCTGGGTGGCTCAGATTGTTAAGGGTCTGCCTTCGGCTCAGGCCATGATCCCAGGGTCCTGGGATAGAGCCCCGCATCGGGCTCCCCATCGGGCTCCCTGCTCAGCAGGGAGCCTGCTTCTCCCTCTCCCTCTGCTTCTCCCCCTGCTCATGCTATCTCTGTGTCTCAAATGAATAAATAAAAAAATCTTAAAAAAACAAAATAAAATTCAACCTTCTTTTCAGAAACACATCAATTTCATATATTCTAAAAATAATTGTCCAAATTTATTGTTATTAGTATGATGCGTCTTCCTAAAAGATGTTGAAAAAGAAAGTGTTTATGTTCTTCATAAAGAACGTATGGGCGCCTGGGTGGCCCAGTCTGTTGAACATTGGACTCTTGGTTTCCGCTCAGGTCATGATCTCAGGGTCCTGGGATCGAGCCCTGTGTTTGGCTCCGCAATCGCTGGGGAGTCTGCTTGAGGATTCTCTCCCTCTGTCCCTCCCCCTACTCGCTCATGCTCTCTCTCTCTAAAATAAATAAATTAGTCTTTAAAAAAGAAAAGAATATCTAAATTAAAATCCAGCAAGGGCTTGTGGTTTTGAGCAGTATACTTAATATTTCTAGGCTTTTGATTGACAAACTGTAAAATGAGATTTGGGGGATAATCTCTAAGGTACCATTCAGCTCTTAAATTGTATGATTCTATAATTCTATGAATATGTGTTCATAGTGTGGGAAAATAAATATTTTAACTTTTGCTATTAGGTGGTCAAGAGATTATAATTAAAATTTTAAAAGATAAATAATTCAAGATCTAGGAAATCCTTTGGTTATAAGAATACCAATTACCTGTGAGCCTAGTTATTTCGAAACAGTATTTGTTGAAGTAAGAGTTTATGGCTGTTCAAATGTAATTAATTATATAGACCAAACTTTAGATTACACAGTATTACTCAGTCATCTTAGTCTTCTAGTAAAATGATTTAACCACGGGATCCCCCTACATGACACCAATATAAAACTTTATTTGCCAAACTTTGCCTAAGTTCAGCTTCTCACAAACTGTAGCAATGTAAATATTTAGCAATAAGCTAATTGTGCGTTGGGACTGAAGTTGTTTCCAAAGTAGATCCCCTATCCAAATGTATAAATAGCTTTTCTGTAGATAAACTAGAATTTATCCACAATGTCAATCTGACAGGACTGTGTAGAAATGACCTGAGTTGTGCTAACTATTGAAATTCCTACCATTTTTTTCATTCACTTATCCAAAAAATGTGGACTTTTCATAATATCAAACTAGATTGGAAAATCCTGATAAAAGAGAATATTATATATCTTTTTTTGTAAATTCTGTCCCCCCCCACAAAGCAGTAAATAATAAACTCAGTAATTATTTTTTATTATTTCATGATTAACTCATATAGTCAGCCAAAATTAAGATTCTCTACACAACGTTAGTTGCATATAAGATAATTCTTGTTCTCTGAAGTTGCCTAGTTAATGTAAAAAACTGAAAACCACTACCTTACATACATATTAGTTTCTCAAAGATTAGTCTTATATTGAAATTTAATATTTTTAGGTTGTTTTTAAAGGCATGAGGGGAGGGATAAGCATAGAGTATTATCAAATAGGCACACCCACTTGTGGGGAGACCACTGGTTCTGAGGCCTAACTGTATACCAACTCCAGACATTCAGTGTGGTGTAGTAGTGATGTAGTTAGTGATGTAGTTCAATAATATATATATATTATTTTTTTAAGATTTTATTTATTTATCTGACAGAGACACAGCAAGAGAAGGAACACAAGCAGGGGGAGTGGGAGAGGGAGAAGCAGGCTTCCAGCCGAGCAGGGAGCCCGATGTGGGGCTTGATCCCAGGACCCCGGGATCATGACCCGAGCCGAAGGCAGATGCTCAATGACTGAGCCACCCAGGCGCCCCATTAATATATATTTTGTAAGATTTTATTTATTCTTTTGACAGAGAGAGAAAGCACAAGCAGGGGGAGCAGCGGCAGAGGGAGAGAGAAAAGCAGGCTCCCCACTGAGCAGGAAGCCCCCGATGCGGGGCTCAATCCCAGGATCCTGGAATCATGACCTGAGCTGAAGGCAGATGCTTCACTGACTGAGCCACCCAGGCACCCCTCAAAAATATATTTCTGAAGAAATGAAAATGCAGGTTAAGAAAAAAGAAAAACCTTTAATTCTACTGATAGCAATTTCAATGAAGAATGGGAAGAAAATAGAGTTACTCTATTTTTCTTCAAAAAAACTATTGACTATTTTTGTGAATCAATTTGAACTAAATGTCCACCAGTTATTTACTTTCTAAAAGCCTCC